TTTCCTGATTAGGTCAATCACCAAAATTTCTTACCTAATGAAACACAATTCTTAAATTAAAATTGATTCCAAATCTTTAAATAAATATTTGGCAAAACTATGCAATTTCTTTACAAAACGTTTCTACAATTGGCTAACTATACAAAACGTTTTTTCTCTCCCTATTTATTCCTATTTGGTAAGATTTGGCTAGCAAATAATTATTAAGTAACAATGACTTACCTCATTTATGAATTATTATGAAGTAACGGTAATGACTTACCTCATTTATAAATAATTATGAATTATTATGAAGTAACAGAATGATACAATTTGCCAAATAATTATGAAGTAACTAATGCTAAATATCGACTTAATTATTACTAAATACAACAACTTTATCCTGATTAGGTCAATCACCAAAATTTCTTACCTAATGAAACACATTTCTTAAATTAAAATTGATTCCAAATCTTTAAATAAATATTTGGCAAAACTTTACAATTTCTTTACAAAACGTTTCTACAATTGGCCAAATATACAAACGTTTTTTTCTCTAGCTATTTATTCCTATTTGGTAAGATTTGGCTAGCAAATAATTATTAAGTAACATAACGACTTACCTTGTAACGCCCCGCCCCGGAATCCCGGAGTCGGTACGCTATTAGATCTGATGGACTGGCCTCACAAACCACCACATGTCTTTTCAGCACGTTTTGTCCTCACTCACGTGCTCCTTGGAAAACTTCCCATGAGGTCACTCATCCTAAAATTTCTCCAGGCCAAGCACGCTTAACTTTGGAGTTTCTAAGAATTGGGTTCCCGGTCACTCATCCTAAAATTTCTCCAGGCCAAGCACGCTTAACTTTGGAGTTTCTAAGAATTGGGTTCCCAAGAAGAAGATGCATCTTGGTGGTATGAGTATTCCAATCAAATCTATCAATACTAATCACATCACCCTCTCAAGTGTTGGGGTATTACATACCTCATTTATAAATAATTATGAATTATTATGAAGTAACAGAATAATACAATTTGCCAAATAATTATGAAGTAACGGTGGTATGAGTATTCCAATCAAATCTATCAATACTAATCACATCACCCTCTCAAGTGTTGGGGTATTACATACCTCATTTATAAATAATTATGAATTATTATGAAGTAACAGAATAATACAATTTGCCAAATAATTATGAAGTAACGGACTTAGCTAATCCATTTTTCCATTAATGATAATTCCATTACTTAATAATTATTTGGCAAGTTATTATTACTACATAATTAAGTTATAAGTCAAGTCATTATTACTACAAATTATTTTTTCATTTATGATATGATAATTCCGTTACTTCATAATTATTTTTTCATATTTATGATAATTAGGAATAAATAGGGGGAGAAAAAACGGTTCAATAATGCTAAATATCGGCTTAATTATTACTAAATACAACAACTTTATCCTGATTAGGTCAATCACCAAAATTTCTTACCTAATGAAACACAATTCTTAAATTAAAATTGATTCCAAATATTTAAATAAATATCCATTTTAATTAGATTTATTTTGAATTGTTAACAAATAAGAATAAATAGGGAGAGCACCTCCCATACCCTTAATATCTCTTCTCTCTATTAGAAATTTTTTTTATTAATATATCTTATCCAAAGTTAGTTATGTTATTTTAAGAAGTATATATTTATCGAGAAGTCTAATGCTAAGTATGGGAAGCTAATAATGTTTATTTTTTTAGCTTGAAGAGAACCTGGTAGAGGCACAGGAGCAAGCATTCCACTTTTGTGAAAAGGAGGTATTTGTTTATTGCAATATTTCTATTTTTATTTCGTGAGTTTCTATCTATTTTTGTAGCTATATCCACATCATAATATTTTTGGAATAGGTACACGTGAAATTCATCAAGATTTGGAAAGATATGGAGAAAGAAGAGAAAGACCACACAACTAATATTTGAACCTAAATGGATCAAGGACCAATACAAATAAATTCAGGGCAGAGCAACACTATGTTCATATAGGGCATTGTTTATTGTAATTAAGTAACTACTTCGCTGACTATTCTTTGCATGTGGATCTTTGATCAATTTTCAGTTTAAATTTGTAACTTTTATTGATTTTACGGGTTCTCACAATTCTTAGTGAAAAAATTTAATCCTGTGTTTTTAGTAACATTTTGATTTTATAATTTTTTATTAGCATTCTACTTCTGACTAATCTGATTGAAAATTCTCGCTCATCGCCAGACCAAATTTCCTTCATTATGCATATATATATATATATATATGACTTTTGATGGAGGTTTGAACTATGTTCTTAATATCTAAAATGTTTCCTTCAATTCTAAAATGTAATTTTTAATAAATTTTAATATAAATTTGCAGATGGAGAGACCTCAAGAAAGTGAAAGCAGAATAATTACTTCAAAGATTATTATACCAATCTCACTCAAGAAGAGCGAAATTCTTATATAAATAGATCCATTGAAAATAGGAGTGAATCAAGTCTCAGTGCCTCGAATGATCATCATAGTCCTGCTAAACGACGAGTCAAGTGGTTACTTCGTGCTACGCAATCAGAATATCAATTTCAAGGTATATTCAACACACTAAAATTATATAAAACTCATGGTATACAAAATTAAATACTAATCGCTTAATTTATTTTATAGGAAACAGTATACAAAATTAAATACTAATCGCTTAATTTATTTTATAGGAAACACATTCTATAATCCTTCATGCTCGGAGTTACATCAAATGAAAGTAGTCCCGCACTGTATTCATTGTGGAGCAAAGAAATTTGAACATGAAGTGCCAACATTTTGTTGCGATAATGGACGAATCAAATTGGCTTCAACGCATGTCCATCCAACTCTTTACTCATTGTTTATGTCCAACACTACAAAAGCAATAGAGTTTCGTAAAAATATCTGAAAATACAATAGTCTATTCTCATTCACCTCATTTGGAGCTACTATTGATAAAAGTTTGGCATCATCGACGAACGGTGTTTATACATTTCGAGCACAAGGGCAAATTTACCACCATTTACCAGGTTTGATACCAAACACAGATAGACCTACTTTTTTTCCAATTGTACTTTCATTATTGTGATAATGAGCTTCACAATCGGATGAAAATATTGCAAAATAACATAATTGATGAGGACGTTATGAAAATGGTGATGGAAATCTTGAAAGATAATCCATATGCTATATTCCTTCATTCATTGAGAGATCTTGAATCATTCAAAGATATCTGTGTTTGTATTGCTGCAAATACCAACCTTGATCAACGGGTCTATAATACACCAACATCCAATGAAGTTGCTGCCATATGGATTGAAGGGAATAATTCAAATGTTCCATTTGAAAGGGAGATTGTGATTCATGATCTGGTCAAAGACATTATGTGAAGCATTATTATGGTTGCTATGATCCATTGCAATACCCGCTTTTATTTTCGAAAGGTGAATCCGGATGGCATCAAAATATCAAAAAAATTGATTGCTCCATCTCCAAACAAAACAATAATTCAAGTCAATTTCGATTCTCATCGGTACAAGAATTATTATAACAAGAACAGACAGGTAAATTTCTCATAAATATACTTATTTTAACATTTGTGGTCAATAATATTTCTTCATATATTAAATGTTAATAATTTTTTTCCCATATAGGTGTCACTATGCCAAAACAATCTCATGTTTCATGCAGAGAATATTATAGCTACAAGTTACAAATAAGAGAATCAGAACCATCTGTGTTTTTGCTTGCTGGAAGATTGTTACAACAATTTATAGTAGACATGTATATCAAACTTGAGACAACTAGACTTGATTACTTTCGGAACAAACAATCTAAAATAAGAGCTGAAGTGTATCAAGGAATAGTGGATAGTCTAACCACCGGTGAAACTCGAGGTGATCAAGTTGGGCAAAGGGTTATCTTACCTACATCTTTCATTGGAGGACCAAGAGACATGCGGCGTCGGTATATGGATGCAATGGCTTTGGTTCAGAGGTTTGGTAAACCAGATATTTTTATTACGATGACTTGTAATCCAGATTGGAAAGAAATAAAAGACGAACTTCTAATGGGACAAGTTGCTCAAGACAGACCTGATTTGACATCGCGCGTATTCCGTTCAAAACTTGAAGACCTAAAAGATCAACTCTTCAAAAAGAATGTCTTTGGAAGAGTTGGAGCGCATGTGTACGTGATCGAATTTCAAAAAAGAGGGCTTCCACATGCTCATATCTTGGTTATATTGAAAGAAGATTGCAAAATCTTAACTCCTGACCAGTTCAATAAATATATTTCAATATAAATCCCAGATGTCTCTACTCATCCAAGACTTCATGAAATGGTTGTCAAACATATGATGCATGGTCCCTGTGGAAAACACCGCATGGACAGCCCTTGCATGGTTAATCAAGAATGTAGACATCATTATCCACGACCTTTTTCCTCTAAGACAATAGTTGGTAAAGATTCATATCCAATTTACATGATTTTCCTCTAAGACAATAGTTGGTAAAGATTCATATCCAATTTACATGAGGAGAAATAATGGTAGAAAAGTATGTGTACGTCGAGCAGAGTTGAACAACCAATGGGTTGTTCCTTATAATCCATATCTCCTTACCAGGTATTGAACAACCAATGGGTTGTTCCTTATAATCCATATCTCCTTACCAGGTACAATCTTCATAATAGCTTTAAAGTTTATTATTTATGAGAACATTTCAACCATAATAGCTTTAAAGTTTATTATTTATGAGAACATTTCAACAAAAAATATACTATGTGAGAAAATCTCAAAATATGATATCGTCATATCTTCTTAACAGGTACAATTGCCATATTAATGTTGAAGTTTGCTCAAGTGTAAAAGCGATCAAATATTTGTATAAATATATATATAAAGGGCACGACAAGATCTCTATCTACCTTGCACACAATGAAGAGCAAAATAAGTTTGATGAAATAAAACATTTCCAAGATGGACGGTGGGTGTCAACGCAAGAAGCATTTTGGAGAATGTATGAATTCAAGATGAATGAAACTACTCCTCCAGTCATTAGTCTTCAGTTACATCTTCCAGATAAGCAATCAATTTGTTATTAGCAACATCGAGATCTTCGTGATGTAATAGGTTCAGAAAGATCATCAAAAACTATGCTCACTAAATTCTTTACAAAATGCACAACAACTGAAAATGCAAGGCAATTTCTATACGTCGGATTTCCTGAACACTATGTGTGGAGTAACCAAGCAAAGATTTGGTCTGATCGGAAGCACAAACTTGTCATTGGTCGTATAAACGCTGCAAACCCAAAAGAAGGAGAGAGATATTATTTACGTCTATTGTTAAATCATATGAGGGGCCCTACTTCATGGGAATATCTTTTAACAGTTGATGGTATTGCATATAAGTCCTTCAAGGAAGCTGCACAAAGAAGAGGATTACTAGAAGCTGATGATAGTAGTTCTGATTGTTTAGTTGAGGCCACTACCTTCCAAATGCCTTATGCACTACAAAGATTATTTGCCATTATTTGCCAACCATCAAATTAAAGAAAATTATGGAACAATCATTTTGAAGCGATGGCAGAAGATTTCAAGGGAGGAGTAGATGAATACATGCCACCAACTTGTGTTGCATGGACATTAAAAAGCATTAGTCTATTCCTTGAGAGTATGGGTAAACATATTGCAGATTATGAGTGTTGCATGGACATTAAAAAGCATTAGTCTATTCCTTGAGAGTATGGGTAAACATATTGCAGATTATGATCTACCATTACTGATACATGATGATGTTGCTATTCCTTGAGAGTATGGGTAAACATATTGCAGATTATGATCTACCATTACTGATACATGATGATGTTTACCAATGTCAAACTTTACCAAGAGAAATTATCGATGAAAGGGAGATAGACATTCCATTTGAAGATTTTCATGCTCAATCGAAGTTAAACCCGAGGCAAAAACAAGCCTTCGATATCATATTAGATAGAGTCAACAAAAAAAATCTAGAATATTTTTTGTGGATGGTCCAGGAGGAACAAGTAAAACTTTTCTTTATCGTGCATTACTTGCAAATCTAAGATCAAAAAAGATGATAGCATTAGCAATAGCGACATCAGGAGTGGCTGCAGCAATAATGCCATGAGGGCGAACTGCACATTCGCGATTCAAAATTCCAATTACTGCTAATGAAACTACAATGTGCAATATATCAAAGCAGGATGGAACATCAAAATTGATACGATGGGCATCACTTATAATATGTGATGAAGCACCTATGGCAAAAAGATTTGCGATTGAGACGGTTGACAGAACATTAAGGGATGTAATGGGTGACAAAAGAATTTTTGGTGGAAAAGTAGTCGTGTTTGGAGGTGATTTTCGTCAAGTTCTGCCAGCTGTTCCACGGGGCACTAGAGCAGAAACAGTCAATGCAAGTCTTGTGAAATCATATCTCTGGGAAAAAATAGAGAAATTATCTCTCACTATTAATATGAGAGCAAGAACTAATCAAGTATTTGGAGAGTTCTTATTGCGCGTGGGGAATGGAGAGGAACCCACAATAGATGAGAATTTGATACTTCTTCCACATGAAATGGTAATAGAATATGACAATGATGAAAACTCTGAAAAAAATTTGATTGATGCTATCTTTCCATCATTACAAGCAAATTCATCATCTGCTGAATACATGACACAACGTGCTATTCTTTCAACAAGGAATGAGTATGTTGATGGACTTAATGAAAAATTAATTGCATTATTTCCTGGTGAAGCTAGAACATTCTTTAGCTTTGATGAAGCAGTAGATGACACAAATAATTATTACCAAGAAGAGTTCTTGAACACCTTAATGCCGAATGGACTCCCGCCTCACAAATTGATTCTTAAAAGAAATTGTCTGATCATGCTGTTACGTAATCTTGATCCATCTAATGGAATGTGCAATGGCACACGGATGATCTATAGAGGATATGAATATAATGTTATCCATGCTGAAATCACAATTGGTCAACATTCTGGTCAAAATGTCATATACCATTATCTCCAGCTGAAAATGAGGGTTATCCATTCCAATTTCGTAGAAAACAATTTCCAATCCGACTATGTTTTGCAATGACAATAAACAAAGCGCAGGGACAAACAATACCTTATGTTGGAGTTTATTTGCCACACCATGTATTCTCACATGGTCAATTATATGTTGCATTATCAAGGGGGATATCAATGAGAACAACTAAGGTATTAGTGAAAGTTGACCAAACAAGAAGAACAAAAAAAACATACGCAAAAAATATTGTGTATCCAGAAGTATTATTGCCTCAAAGGTAAATCACCTCATCAAAATCATGACTCATTATTTTTTCATTCTATGATGCACATTTTGTACAAATTAACTTTCAAACAATTATTATCTAACATACTATTCTAATATGCAGCGAAGATGTGTATTAAAGTTGTTAACTATTTACAATGCAACGAACTATCTTTGATCTCAAAGGTAATTTCCCCATTTATGTAACATTTATAGTTAGGTTTGATCCTCCAAAAGTTTATGATGCCTGATCATGCTCGATTCAGTTCTATTTGCAGGTCATGGACTCTAGCTATTATAGATCAAATTGCCTTGCTACAGCCCGATTCCCCATGGCTCTCTACAGTTTGACAAAGATGCATCTTTTGAAGTTGATGAATCCTGCTAAAATTGAGCTCCTTTCTGTCTATTTATATCAAACTTAAAGAAGATATGATTATGCTACATTAAGTGAACATATAATTAAATAATTTCAGTTACTTTATTTATTTATGATCTTTTTGGTCAATATACTGATTTTTTATATGCCAAATTAGTGTTTTTATGATGCTACTTATAACCCTATAACATCTATTTATATCATAAATAATATATATATTATCTATGACATCTTTCATGTATATGTCAAGTAGAAAAAAATAATAAACAATGCAATAAAAACTATAGGACTACATATAAACATGAAAGTATTTACACGTGCAACGCACGTGCACCATACTAGCTTCCTTAAATTTGTGTCCAACCAAAGAGCTCCTTAGCGATAAACACCACCCCTTATCATACACCCACTTGCATGCTCCTTCTCATCCGGTCCCATACATTAATCTCTGGGGCCCACCACCTACATCTACAGCCTACAGCCCAAGTCCACAATTAGGAATCAGTCAAGATCATGATTAACTTCGATTAAACTCCCCACCCTTTAATCCCCATCCGTGGCCAATCTCGATATTACCGAACTTGACGGAGGGCAATCTCGAGACTCGCTCCTCCTCCCTCTACCCGCAATTCAGCCCTCATATCACGTGACTCCCACTCCATCCAACGTACCCGAAACCACCACGTGTACATGTCCATAAGGCGACATCTCCCTTTCTCCCCCTAACCTTATCCCCTCGACACGTCATCCCACTCAGATCTAAATCCGACGGCCCAAAGCGATCCGAAATTTTTTGATGCCTTCCATCTCTCCTATAAATATCTCCCACTCCCCGGCGCTCTTCTTCTCTTTCCGCTGCGAGCTCCGATACTTTTTGAGAACTTCGGTGGCAGTTTCGGTAAATAAGTCGAAATCGATGGGCCTCCTCGACAAGCTCTGGGACGACACCGTCGCCGGCCCAAGGCCCGATAGCGGGCTGAGCAAGCTGAGGAAGCACTCCACCTTCGCTTTTCGATCGAGCAAAGGTAATCGGTTTGGTCAGTTTGATGAATTAATCAGTTAAAAATGATTCGATGGATTTGGTTAACTGATTGATGATTGGTGGTGGGGCCCAGAGGAGGCGGAGGCTGACGTGGCGCCGGCGGCGACGAACGCCGGTGTCTCCGGCGGGATCCACCCCTCCGGTATCTCCGTTCGCCGGTGAGGTTCATTTGGGGATTTTTTGAGGACCTTGGGGGTATTTTTGGAATTTTTGTAGACTGGATGCTTGATTGAACGTTTTGGTATCTGGTCGTTAATAGAAGGATCCAGAATCAGGAAACTTTATTCGCGCCTTCAATGTGGGAAAGGGACGGTAAAATGTTCCGCAAGAACATCTAGGCTACTATAAGATAGCAACTAAGATTACAGACCTTAAACATTACAACTGCATTAAAACAGAATATTAATTCAGGAAATAAGGCTGTAGAAAGTGGGCGTAACTTTTTACTTGCCCCCTCTTACAAACTCTTCAATAATAAAAAAAATAAAAAAAACAGAAATAAGAAGTTTTCGATAAAAAAAAAAAAAAAACCTCTCTAATTACTCTAATCTAGAGATCTAAAGATGTGGATCGATATATAATCTTGAAGTTTGAGGTTTTGAGTAAAATTCTTCTGTGATAAATGGCCTGTTTATATCTAGCAATTTTACTGATTGTTGGATTAATATAGTAACATGGTCTTAAAAATTCTTTTAAACCAATTAATTAATATCAGGTTTAGTGAGAGTGATGAGTAAGTTCGTTGTTATCTGCATGATGATCCCATATGAATGCATGTGAGTCTGTGATAACAGACAATTCTTCTTATCTTGGATAGGTAGCAACAAATGTGCACATGTGTCAACATTTGAATGTGTGTATGGATTCCGAAATCTAATGATTCGAGAGCTTACACTCATTGGATCATGCACGTTTAATACCAATTGACTTGCGTGCACTTAGATACTTTTCCAAATAGTAATAGCATGTTGGAAGCCAATGATGTTATAGTTTATGTTAATTATTGGTTAATATATTTACGTGAGAAGTATCGTTTTAATGTATGATGATCATCAGGTGGATCAGGGGGGAAGGAGTGGAACAGGTTTAGGAGAAAATCGTCGTCAGACTACGAGAGGCCAGCGGCCGGAATGGTTGGAGTGGGACCCACAAGTACTCCTCCTCCTCATGAGGTGTGAGCTCTGCTGATCCCTGAGCTCTCAACTCTTTTTTGCTTGAAGGAAACCGACACCAAAACAGCTTAATTAACAAATGGCCGGAGAGTGAGAGTGCGCGCGAGAGAGTGTTTCTTTGTGTATGTTGGATATGTTTGTAATTAATGTATGGTTGGGGGGGTGTTGTGTGTATGTTTTGTGTACAAGTAAATTTGTGTGATGGGTGTTTGTTAGCCATGAGTGTCTTTTGGGGAGGTGGTAGTGATCAGAGTGATGTAGGTTTTCTAGTGTATTAGGTAGGATTCTATGTATGCGTGTGCGTGTGCGTGTTCTTGTTGCTATGTACTTATGCAAGTTAGTTGGGAGTTGGTGGGCGTTTTTTGTATCAAATGGGAGGTTGATTTGCTACTTCTGAGTTTCTTGCACTCAAAAACTGTCCTGAATTAATGTAGGGTACGTAATTTGTGTATCAACCCCATCATCAAACTTTTAGCATCACTTATATATCTTCCCTCAAGTATTTTATTAGCGCCTAATGCTCGTGAATAACCCCTTCCTTCCGTGCGCAAAATGAAAGGCGTTAGGGGCTAATAAAATAGTTTTGGGTTGTGATGACTTACATGTGCTAACGAAGATATAGATGAGTACGTGAGGTTATTTTTAAATTACTTTTTCTTTTAATACGAGTATGCATACTGGTCATGGATTTTATGTAGTATATATAAAACTATACGTAATATTTGGATTTCTTTGTATCGTGGTTTTACTAGTGAGTTCAAATCATACTGACATGATAATAGTTCATGTCGAGTATGAGTTAATGTCATACTTCCAATGAAGTACTGTACTCATTTTCTTTCCTACTAAGAAATATAATCATTGACATTGCCATCATTTTGATCTAATGCTAACCATAGAAAATAAATACGTTCTTAATAGTTGCGTATTTGAGGTGTAATCTGCTTATAATTTAAATGAAGTTAGTTATTACCTGTCTAGTACAATTTAGTAAAAGAAGGACCACGGGTGCATTTAATTTATATCTTTTGCAAAATCTAAAATCTATATTTTTTTTTTCAAAATCTAAATTCTGCAACACTTACCATACAAAGCAAATTTTTTTTTTATCAGAGTACAAAGAAAAGTGGCCCTCGACTGCTATTAAAAACTTGAAAGTTTATGATAAACCTTTTATATAATAATAGTGATAACTGGGCTACACTTTTGAAACTACTTTCAAACTTTTACGCCAAAATTGTGTGGAGTTCTTAATGACTCATTAACTTTGATGACAATTTAAGCAAAAGTATCTTGCACTTTTATGTACAAATAGTGTAGGAATAGTTTGAAGAGTGTAGCTTAGTTAGGCTCAAAACGGGTACGTAACAATATTGATGTCCAAAATGATCTTGTTTTTAACACTAATCCATTGTACCGTGGCAAACACTCTTTACTATATTTGCTCAATCACCTTGTTTTAATTGGAGTTGCTTAAAGAGGCAGAAGAAAGTTCTATATCCTCTCGCAGAACAAAATTTATTACTTCAATCATTAAAATTGAACAAGTCAAATTCTAAAGTATGATAGTGGACCTAGTGGTCATATTTATATCGAATTATGACCGTGATACGTCTTTGTACATGATTATATATTATCCAGAAATCTGCCTCTCACCCCACCAACTGCAAGAGAAAACATTATTTGATAACAAATCATTTATACTATCATATGTATAGTATTTATAACAGGAGACGTCACATGCTTACCACATGCAGAGGAGTAAGAGGACCTACCGTTTTGGAAAAGATAGGCGAGCACGTGCATGCTCACTAGCTGCAGACATTTTCTTAATTTTGCTTTAATAATCATGATTTGATTCGGACACCATAAAAGACAGTACAACCAATGACATGATTAGTCTGATTTAATCTCTTTTATTGGACACATTTTGCTAATGAAAAGATCACTTCTACTTTTCAGAGGAGATGTGGCCTGCAGCCGAAAGTATTTAATTAATTTTAAGTTATTAAATCCCTTTCGTTCAAATTTTAATAAATTTCTGAATGATCTAAAGCGTTATCTTATCAATAACACATAAAATGATCCGTGTAAAAAGCAATTTGATTTAATTTAATGGCATAGAAGATTTATAATCTAACAAAAGAAAATGTTTGCAAGAGTAATTAATCTATTTTGATGGTCCAAACTGTAGATCCCAGGAAATTACCAATCTATCTACATGTTCTACCTTGATGTATTAATGAATGTTTCCTTGATTAAATAACTATTAGTTCCTTCGCAAAATGTTCTTTGGATCATTGAACGTATGTATGTATGTATGTATGACCTCACGCGGCGCCAAATACCTTCATGCTGCTCCAGGCCCCTCCACCACTAACTTTGTGTCTAGTTATGACCGAACTGTTAACAATGTTGCAGACACTATTGGAGGGGACACTCCACTCGTTGACTAGATCATGAATACTCCAAGCGCTAAGCTCAAAATACCTCATATAGAGAAATACAAACGCGAGAGGGATCCATCGGAGCATGAAGATGTGGTGGAACTCATTGGACAAAAAGTCAATCCACAGCTTCGAGCAACTCAGCCAAAACTTTATACACCACTTTTTGGTTGACTTCAAGAAGAAGAAGTCCTCTCATGTCTTGCTGCAAATGAGATATAACCCTGGGGAAAGCCTTAGAGATTACTTCAAGAGATTCTAAGCCAAAATGTTGGAAGTTAAATACCTTAGTAACATAGTCGCCATGGTTGCAATCTCAACAGGGTTAGAAGATGATAAGTTAACCGTTTCGCTCATCATAGATCTTGTCGTTAACTTTGAACAACTAATGGCCAGGGCTCGAGGATGTATGGATGCAGAAGATGCTCGAGCCCACAAGAAGGCGGCCAGAGTAGCAACAGTAGCAGAGGCAGAATCATCTTAAAGGGAAAAGGCAGAGAAAGATCTCAGACTTTAAGCCCAACAAGGCCGACAAGAGAGACTAGAGGAGAGAAGCGGCCAAGAAGCCGAAGGCGGCCAGAGTAGCAACAGTAGCAGAGGCAGAATCATCTTAAAGGGAAAAGGCAGAGAAAGATCTCAGACTTTAAGCCCAACAAGGCCGACAAGAGAGACTAGAGGAGAGAGGTGGCCAAGAAGCCGACCCTCACTTCCCCCAACAGTTCTCTCTCATAAGCTCTCTACTTGGTCCAGAAAGGAGGATACCTTA